GCTTTGTTGAACGTTGAAGTAAGTTTAAAATATAATTGCGCCTTTTCAATTTCTCTTGACTCTTATTATAGTGTCGTTTGGCCCTCCTTTGAAAATTGATACGATTCTACAAACATAAAACAAAATCTTTAAAATGTTGAAACTGTTTCAGAGCAATTCAGAGAAATGTAAAATGTAAGTATGAAAACTATAAGGAGAATGCAGTTCATCACAAACACAATTATCGAACAAGGAACACTAAGAACGTGAAATTAATTTTGTATTGGGAGAGGCTCCAGTCGTTAAACTCAATGAAGAATTTTGTAATGTTATGTCAGTGTCATACAAACAACTGATACTGACACAAATGTGTTCAAAATACATTCCACTTTGAGGCACTAGTAATTTCTCCTGACTAAATTAACAACAATAATGGATTTGTCAGTTTTTGACTACATAGATGGAAGTACTATATTATGAAACATTCAAATGTAAACAGCTTCCTTTCCGAATTAAACTCTGTACCAAGGCAAATGATCTGGTTTGAACAGTTCAGTTCAGGTTAGGTGGGTTGAGAAAAGTGGACTGGATGGAAATGTATGCCGATGTCATAACAAACGGTATCACACATGAAATGTATACGTACTTGTTTGTCGTTGCCACTCCCTCCGTCATCCGCCATTCTCTTCTATTACTTGTACTTTGATATTTGCAATTTGTTAACCCGGTCCTCTCTCTGACGCACCAACACTCGAAACACAGCTGTTTGTTCTTGATAGCTGATCGCTGATCTGCCGATACTGGGTACAGTGCGAATAACCACGATGAGTTTAGCTTAGGTGAAGTAGCTCGTAACTTCGATGTCGAACCGACTTCCAATTTCGATCAATATTTCGAGTCGAGAGATTGTCGACGGCATCGACGTCGATTTGGTGTCGTATCGATATCGTCATTCTGGCTGGGGTCCTACCACGTCATGTCCGAAGCGTGTCCAAATTTGTCCTAGGTTTCCCCTGTGTCCCAGCGCTGTCCTACCGCATCCCTCTGACAGCGATGTCCAACTTTGGACACAGGCTGGACAGTCATGTAAGAGCTGTTAAGAAATAATTTGGACAAGCCTGGGACAGAAATGGACAAAGTTTGGACAGGTGCCGTTGGACAAGTTTAGACACTTGTTGGACAACTTTGGACACTGGCTGGACAACTTTGGACATTAGTTGGACAACTTTGGACACTGGTTGGACAACTTTGGACACTGGTTGGACAACTTTGGACACTGGTTGGACACTATGAGGGCATGTTAGGAAGGCAGTTGGACAAGCTTGGACACATTTGGACATGGCTGGGAAGCCGCTGAATGACATTGGTAAGCCACATAGATAGTAGTAAGTAAGTTCGACAGCCTAGTGGTTAGCGCAATGGGTTCCCAGGTCGAAGGTCCGATGTTCAACTCCCCATCAGTAAAGCTACTTCTTCAGCTTGGACTAGCCCGGACATTGTTTTGGACAACGTCTGGACAGTGTATAGGCCTGCTAGGAGGATGGACAAGGCTGGACAGAAAATGGACACAGATCCGTTGTCCAGTTTGTTTCATTTCCCGGACACCGTCAGATTTGGACAGTTCAGGACATCCGTGGGACATGTGTCCCGATAATGTCCCATGGCCCCATCAGGGGTGGCTTTGGACACAGAGACCGCGACTGCAGGGGTAAACCTCGGTGTGGAAAATGTGGTGAGCTCTCCCATCTTACTGAGGATTGCTCCTCCGCAACTCCCTATTGTTTCTATTGCAACAAGCTGGGCCCGCTCTTCCGCCAAACCAAGTTGCCAGCTCCGCTTCGCTCCACCGGCAACTCGGTTCGGCAGGGAGCGGGCCCAGCTTGGCCTGCCGGCGGCGTTTGGGACGGGCCTTCCCCAGTGCGAAATGAATTTTAAGCGATATCGAATCGATATCAGAACGATATCGTTTTCAAGTTTCTGACTCAGAACTGATTCAACAAGAAGAGCATCAGGGCATCAAACATGTTTGATACATTAGGAGAAACCTCGTTCTTTACCCAAGTTTGGTCTGGTGTGATTATGAAATGAAAACAGAAAGATCATTGTTGTTAATGACCGCTCTTCAAAACTTTTCGCGCCGACGCAGTTTTATTTTTTCTCAATAGATGGCGCTGTTCGCGCATGCGCTTGATTGTTTTTTTCGTGTTAGAAGAATTTCATTTGAGATAGGTTTTAATCATTATGAGAACCAAAAAAGGTTATAATATGATTAAGTTGAAACATTAACGGCTAGCCTACTTTTAGTTGTTTAGCCAAATTTTTTCAGGTAAAACTTAACTCCATTAAGATATTTGTCCGTGTAGAAAAACCATCCGAAACGCACGCTCGACCGGCGATTTTTTCGACCTTATTTCTGAAATTTCTTTCAATTTTGCGTAATAAACCGACAAAAACGTCTATTATGGATTGGTGAGGCCGCCAAGACCTACAGTTTGATACAACTGGCATAGTTGTAGGTGTTGTGGTTACCGAGATGAATCGAGTCGCTAAATTACACCAGACCAAGCACAATACTCGTTCTCCCACCTCCAAGAGGGAAGTGAGAGTGGAGGTAAAGAACGAGTAAAAATGGGCCCGAAATCGACACTTTTCTGATGTCCGATATCGTTCTGATGTCAATTTGATATCCGCATTTCCCACTGGGTCGGCCCGTCCCCTCTGAATTTTCATGGTGAAATACATCTTCTATCCGAAAACGTGCCTTCGGCCCGTTGGAGTGACGGCTCGCTTTGGACCATCTTTTTGGCAGGTACCTTTTCTGTCTACTTCGTAATCAAAACTCAACAAATGAAGTATTCTTTTCATACTGAACATCTTTGACTGTGTGTGCCGCAGTTTGTAGAATACATGCAAGTTATGCCAAATCCCTTCTAAGCTATTGATGTTATCTTATGAATCAAATAACACACCTATGAAAAGATACATAAGACTAGCCCTAGAAGAAGTTAAATATACTTCCAGGCATACTCTGATTGACTCCGAACGTGTTCGAACAACAAATAAATGTTATTTTGGTGTTTTTTATTTTTGCTATTTTGCATGGAAGTGTACCCGTTTTATTAATGATGTCTCACCATAAAATAAGCCCACTCTTCTGCTTAGAAGAAAATTTTGAACCGACGCCATACTTCTCAGACAGAAGTGTACTGTGTACATCTGAAAAAGTAAAAATATTTCTGTTTTGGCCAGTTTGGTAAGAAAAACTGCCTTTTGTAAGTAAACAGGACAAAACTTTAGCCCAAGAGGCTCTACTTTCACAAGTTACCCCT